AAAGTGAGATAGAGAATGTCTTCCAGTGAGAAAGAGAGACTCTTAATTTTAGTTTCTGTGATATCCATGTATGAAATAAAGAGCCAAATTAAGTTGGTACAACTGCAGAAGAAAGGCATACTTTACTGATGCCCATCTCAGAAGCAAAATATTTTGCCTGGCATAACTCTACAGACTTTTACAGAGCTATTTTCAACTGACAACATACCAAGTGACAGTCAGGTAATATCATTAGTACTTATTTTATCTAAATAACTAATTTTATCTAATACAACTTGGTAAAAATCAGTATAATGTTGTCAGGTTTCTTTTCATTTTCAAGTTTTTCATGAATTTTAAGTACATCATAGTTCAGCCCAAACATAAAATGGTACACAAGTATGATAAAAATAAACTTTTACTTACATTTTTATATTGAATTGCTGGAATATGCAGAAAATACACACATAAAAATTGCTTATACTGAAAATAGCATATTTCTTAATTTCATCAGGGTGTATATGTTCACTATTGCTTGCAGCATGTCTTCTCTAATTACTGATATCACAAACAAAAGCTAAAGGAGGATTCCTGCAGAACTGCTAAACGACCAGGAACTTAATGCTACAACAGGCATAAGTTAATGGCCCAGAGTCCATCTCCATAAGTCTAAGTTCTTTCAGTACTGTACAGAAGACAGAGCATGCACTTTTTTTCAAAATACACCATTAAGATTATCATCCTACTTTGATAATTGCATTTGAAAAGGTTTAATGAGAACCACATAGGTAAGTAGGAAGAAAATTTTATTTTATTTTGCATAAGATTTGCTAATTGCTTACCATAAACTGAGAACACTGGCAACTGTAAAGAGTACCCCATTACCTTGAAAAAAACAATCACCATGATGACAAGTCAATTCTAAGAGAATGATAGAGCAACAAAGCCAGAGATAATATTTTTAATCAAAGGGTTTTGTGTGCAACTATTATCATATTAAAGAAAGAAACACCAGTATACAGTTTCAACCAATATATTACGTTTTTAACAATATTTAATAAGCCACCTCAGTTGTATCTAGTATGCTGACTGCATTACAGAAAGATTCTGTTAAACTGCATACCCTGTTTACTAAGGTTGACACTCTTGCATGTATCACTTCATAATAACACCTTTTATTAGTTCTTACTTAGTTTTTTATTTTCTTATTTATTTAGTCATTATTTAATATAATTGCTCTTGAATATTCTTTATCAAATTGTATCAAGGAGTAATAAATTGTTCTGTTTACTCTAGATAACACAATAATTGGTGACATGAAAATGCAAACATGTCATATGATTCTGAAAAAGAATACTTAATACCTTTCCCATGTTGACACTGAATTGAGAAAATGAAATGGATCAAGTTAGTGAGGAGTATACCAGAAAAATAAAACTTCCTAAATTACAATATAGTTAAACACTGGAATAGGTTCTTTACGGAGAATGCCAAACCTCAGATTTTTAAAACAGCGGTAAATGCTTTTAAGTATAAGAGATATGGACCACTTATAGTCTTTGCATTTGTGTATGTCAGCAGAACAATTGACACACATGGCACTCCTCCTTCTGTAGGAAAGGACCTACAAACCATTGATGCAAGGTAAGTGTCTGAACAAATTTATGTATGGCCACTCTTACCTTGCAGAAGAATGAAGAGTGGCTTCCTGAGATTCCTTCTTGCTTGATTTTATGTGATTCTATTTTGCAGCTACTCTCTGTTAAAAACACCTAAGGTGTTTTTTTCACATTTGCTATCCTCTTTCCTCAGTTTTCAACAGCCCACCATTATAGTCAGTTGCCAACTCCAACTAGTCCTTCATCTCAGCATTTTATTATCCTTCTCTTGATACTTTTAAAAATTTCCCTCATATGACTGCACTCTGAAAAAAACACATACGGTCTTAAAAAATGAGTCCTATTTGACTCTGAATTAAGATTATTAATAATTTTTCTTTTGCATATCATCCTAAAGTTGAGGTCTAATATTCTGCTTGATATGCATAACAAATTCCTCCAGGTGAATTTGAGTATTTTTTCCATATGTATCTTGCTTTCTTACATGCTGTAATTAAAAACCTAATCTTGTCCTGTGAAATCTAGTCTAAATTCAACTACCCTAACTGAAAATTTCATAAACACAAGATAAATTGGAGTGTTAAAATATTTCCATTTCATTCAGCTGACTGTTTTTTCTGGAATTCCCTCCTGCAATACTTTAATGAAAATATCTGGCTACTACCTAGTTTTTACTGAGTAGTAATAAACTAGTTTATTATTTGACTTTAATGTCAGTAGATAACTGAGCAATAAAAGCCAGAAGTACTGCAAAGGGGTAGAAACTTGAAATTACATTACTGGATCAGCTTTTTTCATCAGTCTTTTTTAGTGCATGCATCCAAATCTGTTGTTAACCATAAAAAGCTATCCATATTGTGTTGATGGTAATTCTAAAGCAATCCTAATATATATTGTTTCATATTTCCAATGAAAGCATAACTGTAAACATGAACCATGTACCTTCACTCCTTCAAACAATCTGCATAAAAACAGGAAATATATTAGTCCTGAGCAAACTTTTATCAGATTCTCTCTTATTCCTCATGAGGACATTATAGCACCATGTATCCCATCAGCTTAAGGGCCCTTTCAAGCACTTGAGTCGTTAAATATGCAAGATACATTTAGGGTGCATAGGTCATGCAACTCAACTACGCCCAATCCAAACTATTACGCATCTAGCTCCCTGTAAATTATCACAAGCCTTATTTTTAAACTTGTTCCACTTTAGTAGGAATAATAGGAAAAGCGAGTTGAAGTAAAAAACCTCTTGCAACTACCAAGACTAACCATCTGAGATGTTTGACTATATGCTGAGCATCACAGTATATGTGTTTGAATTCCTCGATGTTAAACCAACTACAAGCATGATCCAGGTAACACTCACTCCCAGTATCTATAAACACGGCAGTCTTTTCTATCAGTTTCCCTTTTTCTTTCTTGGGACTCCTGGAAAGTCCTTATAGCACCTACCTTTTTAAAGTAAAAAAGCAAACGTACACATTTCTCTACCCATATACTCCTCTGGTTCAGCTTACTTTCCACATGCATATAACTCCAATCTAGTAATTTCCCCACTTAGAAATTTTCATGTGACAGCTGCTCCAGCTGTGGGGCCTGATTATTTACCAGGACTGTCTTAATGACAAATTACCATATTCTCAAGGCAAAATGCTGACACTATGAAAGACTCACTGTATAACCACATTTACTTTGCAGAAGAACAGAAACAGTTTAAACGGACAAAGAAGAAATTAAAGAAATACTTCGACTCTTTCCTAGTTCCACTTTTCAGACAAGAAAACTAGCCTGGAGCCTTAGTGACAGTCTCAATCACAGTGGCTTTTCTAAATGGGAAAGACAAAGCCCTTTCAGCAGATTACTGACACTATGCCTTTCTTTTTGAGCAGTCACTTCATCTCCATTAACAAATGGAATAAGGTATTGCCAACACCTGCAACAGTTGCTCAAATTATCCAAGCCTGATATCAAACTACTTTACATCAACGTAAGGAAAGGATTATAATGATGTTAAAAATTAATGTATCGTGGCCTTTTTTTCTAACACTATCTCAACATGGGTTGCATTGTATCATCAAACACATTTTTATACTGGACGCTGTGCATATAAAAAGGGGTGTGTAAGTTATCTTACACACTGAGCAACTGGACAGTCAAAAGGACTGCTGAAGTAATCCATTTTGCACTGATTTCAGAAGGAATGACTTCATGTTGTCATATAGGTAGACCTCTGATCAGTTTTACAGTCCCTAAAAGATTTTTACTTTATAAGAAAAAAAAAAAATTAACTGTCATTATGTGGAATATAGGAATAACATGAAAAAAAAAAAAACAACATTCTCAAGGCAGCACAGTATTAGCATGTGAGTGGCATGACAACAGTTATAGAAATTACTTGCTTTATACTTTTGAATATAGCGCACATTTTCAGTTACCTGCTTAATAATATACAGTAAGAGCATCTCTTGGCTTTATATATATATATATATGTATGTATTAATTTGCAATCTGTAAATAAATTTTTAACCCCCCAAAAGCATGAAATGAAACATCTGAACACATACACTCAACATTCGCACTCATCAACAGCACTACAAAATTGTGTTCGGATCGGATACAGTGTTTCAACTCACTTTCCAAAGTGCCATTTCATCAGGATAACTATAGGATTAGCATTTAATCATATCTTCTAATGTGGCAATGAAAGATTTATTTCAATACATTTAAGAACATGTAAATAACAGGTTGCTTAGGATGGTCACAGTGTCATTTATAAAAGAAATCTAGAGCAGCGTAAGAATTCTTCATATGAAATTTCATTTTGTTTTGCAAATCAATTCATTTTAAATTATTTTGCAGACTATTTAATTTAATATCATAAAAAAGCATTTCAAAATTCTTCACAAATTTTGACTTTTATTAAATGGTTATGTGTAATCTTTTCACTACCACCAGCTGCCAAAGTTGGCAGAAGGGAAAGGCTTATCTTTAGGAACACTACTGGCATCGTTCAGCCATTGTCACAACAGAATAATTAGTACACTCTTTCCCACATCTTGACCACACTGCAATTGTCTATCTGGTCAATAAACTACTGTAATACTCCGTAAATTTTAAATATATAGGCCTGATACATATGCCCTATTCATTCTATAAAATGCTAAGCATACTTTACATTTGCTCAAACTTTCTAATTTTATGGCTTTTTAAAATTCCATTTCATGCACTTAATGCTCTAGACTGCATTCAGTGTATACACCATTATGGTAAGCACATTGGCATGCACAGGCAATACAAGAATAGATTATCATTAATCCCATTGACAACCAAAAAAGGTGAAGTTGCATCATGCAATGAAACCACAGCTTGGCCTGGGCTGCCATGCAGAAAAAAACCTACATCAATGAGTCTGCTGTACGGCTCCTAGGTAAGAGTTGATATGAAAGAGGTGAGTTATTTCAGCAATGAGGTCACAGGCTGAAAATGTTTATACTACTGCAAACAAAATACTGTACACAGCACCAGTATTACATGGGAGGGATGGGAGAAGGGGAACAACGGGGGACTAGAAGGAGGAGATATGCTTGTAGAGGAGGACAAAAGGATCAGAAAGAGAAAGGGAAGAGGAATTATAGATTACAGTAACAAGTCTGAAATCCAATCGGTCCTTTTTCAATAAGCATTTTGTTACTTCATTCAAAATAATCTCATTTGAGCTTTTAAAGCAAACCTGAATTTCAATGTATTTTGCAAAAAAATACCCACAACAATGGATGAAATAATGAGATACAGGGTCATTTCAAAATGTCCATAGTGCTCAGTAACTGATGAGCAACTGAAGACAATAAACACACAGATGTTGAGGTGATTTTTTCAATGCAGTGCACAGGATCTAAACCACACAGCTTTCACTGATTTGAATGCATAGTGCATTGGACTGAATGAACACAGGCAATATAAGGGATTAATTTATATCAGTGATTTATTCAGCCATCTTCTGCTGCTTTTCTAGTAAAAGACATCTTTCTACGGAATAAAGCAGGGGTTTTTTTTTCAGAAATTGTGGTAATTCTGAACTGCCTTTACCTTACTCACCTTCATAGTTGTTCTGAATGCAAAACTGCCATGAATAATACAGTGACCACCTAGCCTGCTGTAGGTCATGCACATTAGGCCCAGTACTTCATACCCTGATTCCAGTAAGCTCAGAAAGAAATAGTTGACCAGGTAATTTATTTTAATGCAACACTCACATAAGACATCAACAAGATAACAACATCTCCACCAACTAATAAGAAAGAAACACAAGCTTTCTTAGGTATTGTGGGGTTTTGGAGAATGCACATCCCAAATTACAGTCTGATTGTAAGCCCTCTCTTTTACATGACCTGGAAGAAGGACAATGAAAAAAGTATGATTCTGTAACTATAACACATTATTATATGTGTTCCATTACAAAAATGTTTGCCTCATGTTTTTCAACAGCTGTGCTGGGTTTTTGCAATTTTTCCTAATTACATTTAATTGTAAGTGGTCATGTTATTTTTATCACTGCTCCCAAATATATAAACTAATTATGCAGGATGGCAATTCATGGAACACCCAAAACAGTTTTATCAAGAAAACTAAAATTTCAGTTACTGCATAAAGTTTAATAGAATCTATTTTTATTCCAGTTGCAGAACTATTGCTTTCAGTATTTTTGGGTTTATATGCTGATAGCTTTTTGAAATATTCATATTTTTATTTTGCACATTGCCACAGAAATTTACATCAAAATAAAATCAGCTAAATTGACAGTAAAAATTATTTTCTAACCTCTTGAAATATCACAAAGGATTTGTAGAAAAACCTGTCAGAACTTTTTGAATTTGACACGTAAACAAAAATTATATATTCCAGTTATAGAACCCCCAGCTGTACTAAAACAGTAAAATACATGTCCTTTTTCCAGCCAAACACTTCCATCCTTTTCACAAGGGCAGAACTTATAGCCGTGACTCGTACCACTTTTGGCCACTACATGCTATTTAACAAGGAGGGTAGGATGTTACAGGTGCAAGAACAGATTCAGTCTTCTGTTTTCAGATTGTTGCTACAAACCAACCTCACATTAGAAAAGTTTCTCTGCTTCAGCTTGAGAGAAGCTATCAAACTCATTAATTTCAAAAAAAACAAAAACGGTCAAAGTTTCCCCCTTCTGGTTTAGAAAAAAGTCATAACAAACTTTATGTAGTTTGTACAAGTCTGTTGCAAATTATAATCACTGTAAAGCATACTGTACTGTTGAAACTAAATGACCAGAGCTATCAAATTTAACTAAATTGCTGGGATATTTTGCCCTGGAGTTTAGTTCTTCCCAGTCCCTGAATATGAAATTCCATTTAATAAACCAACTACTGGCAAAGTTTTGTCTGGCAAAATAGGGCATCTGATTTTAGCTTTCTGTTTCTCTTAAGCATACTAAGATGCACAGCAAAGAAATGAGATGGGTAAAACTACAGTCTCAACATTGTAAACATTTCTGCTCATATACTCCATGGATCTCAGCTAGATATTCACATACAGAATTAAGGATATAGGATGGAGCCTTGCATAAATAGTGACCAAAAAATGCCATAAAAACTTACAACTGGTAGGAATATAATAAAATTCAGTGATCTAACTTACTATAGAAAGCTCACTTGTATTCAGAACTCTTTTGTCTAACCTGCTCTGAAAACTTGCATGAACAATGATTTCACATCTCTAGATCACTTGTTTAAATGCTTCATAGCTCTTACAAATACAGAAAAGCCTAAACACCATTAGTGTTGATAATTAACCTTTAGTCTTTATTATTTTTATTGCTCATTTGTATTGAAGAAAATGTTTATGGCAACAAGAATTTTTGTCTCTGACTGGAGAGGAAGGTTTCTAACATGTTGATGTCCTGGCCTGCACTTGAATTCAGTACATCTAAGCTTCCAGAATCTAGAGAACACTGCATTAGCGAGCTGCTGTCTTTTTTGTTTGTTTGATTTTTGCTTGTTTGCTAAAACTAAAAGTTGAGCTTTTTAAGACATCTGATGGTTGAAATTCCTGACTGCTTTTGAAAAAAAGAATTCATTGCATAGTCCATATTCTATGAAATGTATACATTGCATTTTTCTATGCACATTGTACTGACATATCAGAAATTCAGTTCCTTGTTCTTAGTCAGATATGCTGTTAAAGTGAAACTGCAATTCAACAAAGGTACAAAGATATAATTAAAAATTCACCCTCGTTTTCCTAAACCTAGAAAGAACAGTCAAAACATTAAAGCTCACTGCATTTAAAATTAAAGATTTATATCAAGGAGACTGATAAATATTTACTATGCATGGTAGCACATACTGCTTCAAGAAGGAGTTCAATAAAACACACCTATACTTCTAATGAAAAGTATAAATTGCCAGAAAATGTCAAGGGATAATTTCATTGTTATTTACTAAAAACTAGCTTACTCATAAAGTGATATTACAAAAAAAAAAACAGACTATGGATAATCTATTTTCCCTATGGTGGAAGCACTTAAGCCTGACAATTACAATGAAGACTTGCAACCATTCTAACATTAAAAACATGTATCAACCGCTATTATTACATTTACATTATATCATGTGGTATACTAGAAATAAAATTACTGTAAAACTGTTGTCACAGGATTTTTTGCTTTGAAAAATAGGTAGCCAGCACAGGAGTTCACTATCAGTTATCTCTATATTCTATAATACAGAAAACTCAATTAGAACCTATCAAATTATTTTAACTGCTTAATGGAAAGCTAAAGTTATTAATAAAATATTAATGCACTTTAAAAAGAAGACACTCTGGATAGCCAGAAGAATTAGTATTTTGAATACTAGAGAAAATCATCTCCAAACTCCATTACTCAGAATCATCAACCTATCAGTGCCGTAAATCTTGGCACTAGCTGAATAGAATTATATTGGCTTTATAAATCCACAGGGGCTTCCTTCTCTTATAGCTACTTTTTTGAAATGGAACACAGTCTACCTGGAACTAAAGTTCTGTAATTCATTCAGCCTCTCCTAGCAGCTTGCATGTATCCCTGAGGCCTTAAAATGGGTTGTATTTATTATACACAATGGCAGTAACATATTGGAGGTTATAAACGACAGGCATGCCTTTATATTCACCCTATCTGACAGTGAATTATGGCCGCAGGAAACACAAGTTGAAACACAAATAGATGTATTCCACTTCTGCCAAGTTGCAGAAGACAATGGCATGAACTGGGAAAATGAAGAACTGCCCACTGTAGGAGAAGATCACGTTCAAGGTCATTTAAGGAATCTGAAGGTGCACAAGACTGCGACCTGGTGAGATGCATCCAATGTAGCTGCCAAGCCGTTATCTACCATGTTTGAGAAGTCATGCCAGTCTGGTGAAATTACTGTTGCAGACCTGAGGAAAAGGACTTGGGGGTGTTAAGTGGTGAGAAGCTCAACGTGAGCCAGCAGTGTGAGCTTGCAGGTCAGAAAGCCAACCATAGGCTGGGCTGCATCAGACAGAACATGACCAGCAGGCTGTGGGAGGTGATCCTCCTCCTCTACTCCCCCTCTCTTGAGCCCCCACGTGCAGTACTGCATTCAGCTCTGAGGCCCCCAATGTAAGAGGGACATGGACCTGCTGAGTGAGTCCAGACGAGGAACATGAAGATGATCAGAGGGCTGAAGTACCTCTCCTATGAAGACAGGCTGAGATCGTTGGGCATATTCAGCCTGGAGAAAAGACTTACTGGAGATGTTGTAACAGTCTTCCAATACCTAAAGGAGGCCTACAAAAAAAGCTAGAAAGGACTTTTTACAATGGCATGTAGTGATAAGACAAGGGGAATAGTTTTAAACTGAAAGAGGGTAGATTTAGATTAGACATTCTTTACTATGAGGGTGGTGAGACACTGGAACAGGTTGTCCAGAGAAGTTCTAGATGCCCCAAGCCCAGAAATGTTTGAGGCCAGGTTGGACAGGTCTTTGAGCAATCTGATCTAGCGGAAGGTGTCTCTGTCTGTGGCAGGAGGTTTGGAACTAGGTCCCTTTAACCCAAACCATTCTATGATACATGCTCTCCAGCTGATTGTGACATTACTTCAGATCCATACCAGTAAATAAACAGATATGGAACAACCTTTGTGCTTCTGTAAGTATCAAGGTTTGCAGTTTCATGTACTTTAAAAAGCTATACTAGCTCTATTCAAGAAATATTTTTGTTTTGCACATATTTATTCCGTTTCCCAAAATGCATTAGTATTACTAATGCAGCTCTGGACAAAAGTAAAAAATAAAAAAAAAAATAAAATATCTTAAATCCCCTCCTCTGATCAATTTGAGAAAAACTGAGAAAAGTTTTCATGCCAGCATTACTATGCTGTACAT